TTTTCATTTTATGAAAACATTCTCAGTGTTTTCTGTTTTTGGGTCACTGAACGTGTTTTTGTCTCATTTTTGTTCTCTAAAAATGAAAACAATCCCTTAAAACATTACCGAACGGGCCCTAATATGTTGTTTTCGTTTTCAGTCCATATGAGAGAATTCATTTTTTCCATCTCTCTTTCTTCAATCAACATCGATTCTTGTCTTTGAAATTCTCCATAACTATTCTAAGAGAAGGTTAAAGAGAAAGTTGTGCATTTCCCAACTAAATTAATGGTTAAATTATTTGGAGGTGCAAGTATATTAAAATCTTTAAAGAACATATAGAGCCCTTTAGTTTTGTGACCCTCAACATTCCCATCACATAGTATTCTTCCAGGCATTTTAGAACAACCATCATATAATAAAGTTGTTGATTGACAAAAAACATAATAATAATAAAGTTGTTGTCCCCTCTAGCTCTTTTGGGACAAAGGAGGCCCATGGCTTCAAAAATGATACCATACGACAGTCATATACAAGAAATTTCTCTATAGATCTTAGAAAGAGGAAGGACGAGAATCGAATTCTATGTATTAATTCAAGTGAAATAATGGTTGAAATCCAAATAAAGTGCCTACAAACTTTGGAATCTAACACAGTTCCTTTACGCGTTTTACTTTACATAGTTGTTTTTAAAGCCTAGTACAACATGCAAATGTATCTAGACATAGTGTTTCTTCACCTAGCAGAAATAAAAGCAGTGGTAGAGAACAAATTCCCAAAAGAAGAGATCAGATTTGGATGATCATCATTGGAAATTATATGATGGGGAAGATGAAAGTGGAAAAGGTAGCAGTAAGTTTATGGTGGAAGGTCCACGGAAGTACGAGTACTTGAGAAAAATAGAAGTGCCAAGCATGCCTTAAAGACTGTTTTGGTCAATTGAGAAAGCAGAGGACCATAAGAAATTTGTTATCTCAACCACCCATTACTTGGAAGTTTGAATCCTCCAAGATTCTCCTCCCACTAGGATCATGTTAACAAAGGCTATTTCCTACTATAAATACAGAACATCTTCCTTCTTCTTGCCACTACAAACCGAACAGAGTAACATTTGTACTTTCTTCATCTCATCACCTAAAGCCCTGTGCTTAATATATATATATTTTTTTTGTGTCGAAGAAGAGTTATGGGATGCAACAGGGGAGGCAACAGGCAGAAAAAATCCTCATTCGAATTAATCAGCTTTTTCAAATCGAGGAGGCCTCGCAGAGGAGATGACATGTGGGAGGATTGTAATATGAGTGCAGGAAGGGTGTGGCCTAGTGACGAGGACAGACATGGGTGGGTAGCTGAACCCCACATCGACCGCAACGCTACTGCTTTCATTCAGAAATATCTACAAGTGCAGCCTTCAGAGTTTCTTCTCGACTCTTCTTCTCCCCTCAACCCAAAACCAACTCCAGATCTGTAAATCTCCTTGGTTCCAGGGGATCTCCCCTGGAATCACCCCCTTCGGTTAATAATCCGGGTGTTGTGGGGAGGTTTTCCCTCCCAACTTTTGTTGGATTTTGTCTGCTCTTCGCTTTTGCAAGGTTTTGTTTCTTCCCTTTTTCTTGAGGGTTTGTATCTCAATCTTTTGGGGCTGGTTATTGGATGATCTTGCTAGATTTGCTGCTTTTGTGGTAAATCTCATGTAGATCTCTCTGTATTGGAGGTGGAGCTATTGATTTTGGTGGATCTACTTATATTGTGCTCGGGGATCAAGGGGGATTAGGAGATGATTCTTTGGAATGTCCTAGTGAAAGTTGAGTGATTATGCCCTCCACTCTTGGGGTGTTTCCTGTCCCATGAAGTTTGAGAGATTGTTCTCTGTCTTGATCTTATTAAAGCACTAGTTGTTGCAAAATTAGGGTCCTCCTCATTTGTAACTCCTTGTTAGCTGGGTTTCAAGTTGTATATTTGTTTTCTATCTTGTAATACTTGTGCTTAGTTGTTGTTGTTGTTACAGTCTCTGTATTGCAAGAACCTCCTTTCGGGGGTGTGTTCTTACTGTTGTATCCTGGGTTTGTGGCTTGTTCTTCAAATGAATCTCTACTGTTTCGCCAAAAGAAAAAAATAATAATAAAAAAAAAATAAAAAATAAATCCACAAGTGCATTGTCTCAGAATGTGAGTGCCAAACCTTAAGGCTGCGTTTGGTTCATGGGAAAGGAATCTTGGGGATGGGAAACCAATTGTTTTCCCATGTTTGGTAAGTCAGGCATGGGAAAGCGTTGCCTAGCACATGGGAAAGTAGGAGGGAAAGTGAATCCTTCCTTCCTACTTGGGTTTCACTTTCCCTTCCCATGGGAAAGTAAGACTAATTTTTTTTATGACTAATTTGTCCTTACTAACAATTCATAATTACAGTTTTTATCCAACAATTATTTATATTTTTTTATTATTTTAATAGGGATACAATTGGGAAACTAAACAAAATTTGTTTTCCATTCCTACTCAAAACAAACATGGGAAATGAAATAAAGTGATATTTCCGGGTCACTTTCCCGGCATTACCAAACATGGGAAAGGAATCACAATTTCCCATCCCTCGGGAAATTACATGGGAAATGATTTCCCATCAAATTTATTCCGTGAACCAAACGGGGCCTAACTGCAAACCCTGCTGGAAAGTCCTAAGGAGCTATGCCTGTCTGCATTTCTTAGTGTATCATACTATTATTTTATTCAAATAATTAAGTTGTATCTAGTTTAGTTTGTGAATCAATGTAATCAATGTCATCAAGTATTTGTTTCTGTTTATCAAAGCTTTCGATTTCGTTTAAGTGTTAAAATATGAATATGGTTTGAATACTTTATGTTAAGTTGTATTCTTTTCTATAAGGAGATATATAGGAGTTTACACGAGTGCTTTACAAGGAAATAGATACAGTAATAAATTAGGATAGTATTTTCTAATTATACAATAATTTGTCAACTATATAAAAAAAAAAAAAAAAGTAAATCCCTTAATTAATCAACATTAAATACAAATTATGCCTACCGTCATGCTTCAATTTTTTCGTTCATTCTTACATGTTGGATTGGTTCTCAAAATCTTCAAACTAATGGGTTTTGAGTTTCCTAAATTAAGTTAATAAGTGAACACTTTGGCATACTTTTCATGGCATCATTATTTATGTTAGCTCCAAGAAGCAAATCAGTATGGATGAAACATGAAAGAATTATTTAGGTTAATGTACAATTTGGTACCAATGAATTATAAAATTAAGTTACTTCACCAGATCTTCCCCATATCTGCAATCAACATCGTGGTTTAAGCAATTAAGGTTGCCTTTTGATCTATCTCAAAACCAAGGTTGCCTTTTGATATGCAATTTGCAACAATCCCATCACAGACTCTGTGTGGCATCAAATTTTAATCAATTTATGTTACAGCAGCTTGGTTTTTCAGCTTGTTAAATAAAGTATCACAATAGACGGCGGTAAGCTATACGGTAGCACATTAGATCTAGGGGATTTTTTGTTCTAGTGATTGTTTGGAGGTGCAAGTGTACTAAAATCTTTTAACAGCATATAGAGTCCTTTTAATTTGTGACCCTCGACCTCAACATTCCCATCACATAGTATTCTTTCAGGTAGTTTCAGAACATATAATACTAAAGTTGCTGTCCCCTCGAGCTCTTTTGGGACAAAGGACGCCCAGGCTTGAAAAATGATTCTGTAAATGGTCATATACAAGAAATGTCTCTAAAGATCTTAGGGAGAGGAAGGACGAGAACCGAACTCTAAACATCTTAATTCAAGTGAGATACTGGATCAAATCTAAATAAAGTGCCTAAAAATTTGGAATCTAACACAGTTCCATGAACTGTACAGCTAGCAGAAATAAAAGCAGTGGTCGAGAACAAAATACCAGACCAACCCTCCAAAGAAATAGGAGACAAATAATTGAGATAAATTTGAATCAGAAACATAGCATGTTATGCAT